TATGTACATTAAGATTATCTTAATCTGCAGTAGGATAAACTACTTCCTCACCTTTTAAAGCTTCATTACCAATACTCTACTTAGGATCACCATCAGAATGCAAACGCCTGGGATGATTTGATATTGTAATCTAATTTTCAAATAATACAAGTAAGTTCATGTAAAAAAGTATGCCAGTTGTCCAGAACCAGCAGTTAGCGTAATGGCTATGTCCCTGGACTCCCACGTAGTCGACCGTGGTTCGCGACCCGGACCCAGTGGCTTAAAACTCATGCCTGGCACATGTGCATGCGTGCCCAAGATCCCGGGAGGAGAAGGGATTGTGGCGTGACCGTCCCCCCTGGGGGGTGATTTCTTACTTTCTGTCTCTATGTCTCTGTCTGTCTGGCGAGTGCACACGCCCTATAGCAAAAATCTCTCAAAAAAAAAATGTATAGCAGTTGTTATAAAGAAAAGAGCAGCAAGCCATGAAAGCATTTTTTACATCTTATCAATAGGTCCTTTCTTAATGTCATCTTTAGAGAAAAAGTTAACTTCAATAGCCTTCTTCAACCAACTAAACCATTTTTTTTCAACTTTATTCTAAAATCCAAAAGTTTCTCTAAGCGTTGACAAATTATTTCAACTTTTGTAATCATATGCATGACTTGTTTGATTTTAAATAATAACACAAATGATAAGAATCAGACTTATGTAAAACATTAACTTCCAATTATTGTGTGTGAAATCTGCAGTTACTATTAAAAACAATAATGTGTCCACCCTTTCCAATCAGGAAGGCTTTGTCATAATTTTTCAGAAAAGTAAACTACACAAATTGAGTTTCAACAATTTTCACTGTTACTAGTAATTTTCATAGGAATAGCTTCCATTAATGTTTGACAATACTGAACTACATTTTATTTTACATGTTATCAAATTAGCTGGCGAATATCTGTTGTAAAACTGTCAGCACATTGCTAACATTTCTTTTCCAAAATCCTTCTGCTCTATGCTGCCCACTATAGGAGATGCAATATGGTATCAAGAAATGTAATACTAAGCAATTTCAAACAGTGCAGTCTCACAAAAATATTCTCTGCTTACATGGGTGCTAGAATATGGTATTCTTGAAAGAGATACAGACTGATTCGAGGTAACCATATTTATTAAATGTAAAGGGCATCAGTAGAAACAGGACCAGAAACTATCGTGGTGATCCATATGTCAAGAGTACCAACTGGGTGCGGCGGGGAGGAGGGGGGCGTGGAACTTAATGACTGAAGTGCGGGCTGCAGAAAACTGCAGTTCCACCTACACTAGAGAGGAAATATAAGGGTCAAAATAAACATAAACCAAACACCTCAAAAAAAAAAAAAAAGGCAAGCAAACCCAAATTATTGCTGCAATTGGAAAACAACATTTAAAATCAATTATTCATGTACTACATTATTTGTTGCGTTAGATGAAACTCATCTTTCCTTAAGCTTTTTATAATACTCTTAAAGAGCAAATGCCGTTAATAGTTGACTTTTGTCTTACATTTTTCTAGTTACTGGGAAGTTTAACCACGTATCATCTGATAAACATCAAGTTTTATGTTCATATTTTACTTGGGCTAGAATATACCCAAAGTGGTAAGAATTCTACCCATCACATATACTTTAGGACTCCATTTTGAAGATACCAGTCTCTTCTATAGAAAAAGAAAAAGTGAAGTCAATTTTCCAGTTTCATATCACATCTTAAATTTTTAAAGGCTCTGAAACGTTAAGTATCACTCCAAATCTTCAGTCTGTGATACTTGTCTGAAAAGCAACTACTGTATATGCATGTATGTATACACACACACACACACACACACACACACACACTAAAAGCAGTCAGTGGCTTTAAAGTGACAACCTCTCCTTGAGAAGTAAAAAGTGTTACTCCTCCATTCGCCCTCCGAGTTTTAAATAAAGACAAGTACGTTTGCCGACCGCAGACTGGGATACCAGAAAAGACGTTCTGAAGTCTAACCAGAGACACTATTAGCGTACAACTCTAGGTTCCTACTCCGAGGGCTACAATTTTGGTGTACATGCCTTCGTTCCCACTCGTGCCCATCAGCACTATCCCCGCCCGGGCCGCGACCGCCGCCGCCCGAGCCGCCGGCGTCCACCGGTACCGCCCGCTCCCGGCATTCAGGCTCCCCGGCTCCCCGCCGACCGCGAGTTCCCGGAGCAGAGGCCTCAGAGGCTCCCAAAGCCCACGACTCGGACGAGGAGCACCGACAGGGCCGCAGACTCTGGCATTCAAAAACTACCGAAAAGTCTCACTGCACGAGTGCCGCGGCAGGGGCCACCGCTGCCACGCCGCGTCACCCGATCTTCGTTCCCTCCGAGCCGGCCGGGCGGCCCAGGCGAACCTCCGCAAGCTCCGGGTCAGCTACCGGGAGTGTGGATGAGCAACCAAAGCCACAAGACACCGCGACCAGTCCCCGAAGCAGTCTGCCGCAGCCTTTCCTTAGTTACGCGTATCCTGGCGGTTTCTGGCACTTCCTTCAAGGAAAGGGAAAAAAGTAAAAAAGCGTAGGGGTTCTAGAAGTCGTCGACATTTTCCATCTCGGTGTGGTCCCCTAGACTCCATTCCTTAAGCAGGATTGCCAAACTCGTATGCATCCTCAGCGGAGGTATTCCATGTTGACAGATCTCTAGCCTCCCACAAAATGGGGCCAAGGAGGCGGACGCAGTCTCCTCTATGGGCGCCGCCATTTTGTGAGGCGGCGGCGGCGGCGCGGCGGCAGGAGCCCGGGGTGTGTGTAATGGTTGAATAGAATGACCCCCTCTAGGGAATCCCCGGCGCTGACAGTTACGTAAGGGGCTGTGCGCAAGTGCGGTGTTGAGGGAATCCGCACAGTCCGGGCCACGCAGCCCTGCGGCCCACATCTCCACTCCCCCTAAGAGGACCGGTGGGGGAAGGGACGGCTGACCCGGCCTCCCCCCCACCCCTGGACCATCCCCCCTCGCCTCCAGCCCAGGCCCAACTTCTCCACCTCCCCGGACCGGGTCTCCGCCCCTCACTGGCTTCCGAGGCACTCACTGGCCGGCGGGTGTCAAGAACTTCCTAGCCTTAGCCTTATTCCGACCCCGTTTAAGACACAAACTTTTCTTGGGAAATAAGTCCGTTTCCTAGAGTGAGCACCGGAAGCGTGCTGAACTATGTTACATAATTTTTTCACCACCTAATAAATGTTCCCATAGGAGCAACTACCTATCAGACCTTCCTACCCTGTGACCTTGGGTTAGTCAGTGCCTCTGCCGGGGTAGTCGGCACTAAGATGGGAATAATAACACGTTCCACACACTGTGAAACTTAATTAACATTTGTAGCTAAGGGCTGGTTCCAACATCCCTTGTAATTGCAAACTTAGGTGGTAGTATTTGTCTTAAAGCTTCCATTTAAGCAAAGGTTTATTTTTTAATCTTCAAGAATATTTTAAGAGGTTGACATTTAAGACATTTGAGAGAAAGCAAAGAAAATACGCGTCTTACTCGATATTTAAACGCAGCAATCTTTCAGATACCTTAATATAAAAAGATAAACGTTAATTATGGTCAAAGTTGGACAGATTGCTTTCCAACCAGTTTAATTACTGTTTGCTTACCTCTGAACATAGCATAATGCAATGTGATACGTGAAACCAACCAAAGACAAGATGAATTAAGAACATTACTTTATTTCTACGGAACTAGGGCAGCCTCTTCATATAGTTATGTATAGCTTATTAGAGATTGTTTGTGGATAACTCACGGACAACACGCTAACTAGGCCGCAAAATACTGTATAGTATAAGACTTGGGAAAGCCAATTTCTTTAGACCACGACAAAAAAAATTGAATTTATTCCTATCTTTGAATGTTGCGTAGTATGAGGAGCTGGCCCTCTAGGCTTCCTTTCCCTCCCCAGCGCCACGCTGGTTCGGCAGGGCGGGAGGGGGCACCGCGGCGACCCTTGTAACAGCCGGGCCGGGGACGCGAACATCGCCTCCACCCCTAACCCTGGGTCCCCGCGCCGCCCCCCTTTCCGCCGGCTTTGTGTGCGTGTGAAATGTGCGGCACATTGCAGATGAACCCTAAGCCCGGCGAGCCGAGTCTATTGTTCCCCGCGAGGAGCTGCCGGGGCGGTGTGGAGCCAGGCGCAGTGCCGCGGCCGGCCCTCGGGGGTCGCTGTGCGGCGCTGGCTGCTAGGCTGTGGCGGCGGCGCTGGCGGCGGCAGAGAGGGAGGCTGGTGGGGAGCG